AAAGACATACCTTACCATCAAGACCTTCTGCAATATCACTAATAAAAATATTAAAGAGAATGGGTCCAAGTACAGATCCTTGAGGTACCCTACTGGAAACTAGACCTTGCTTCGAATATACTCCATTGACTACAACCCTCTGTTGCCTGTCATTTAGCCACTCCCTAACCTATTCAACAATATTGGAATCCAAACTTAAAGATTGCAGTTTATTGATGAACCTTCTATGTGGAACAGTGTAAAAGGCCTTACTGAAATCTAGGTAAGCAATGTCTACTGCACCACCCTGATCTATTATTTTAGTTACCCAGTCAAAAAAATCAATAAGATTAGTTTGGCATGATCTCCCTGAAGTAAGCCCATGTTGTCTCTGATCCTATCCTTTAACATGGTTTCCATCACTTTCCCCACCACTGAAGTAAGGCTTACTGGTCTATAGTTGCTTGACTCCTCCCTACTACCTTTTTTGTGAATAGGCACAACATTTGCTAACTTCCAATCTAATGGGACTACTCCTGTTAACAATGATTGGTTAAATAAATCTGTTAATGGTTTTGCTAGTACACCACAAAGCTTTTTTAATAACTTTGGGTGTATTCCATCAGGTCCCATTGACTTATTTGTCTTTACTTTTGACTGTTGAAATAGAACCTCTTCCTCTGTAAACTCACATATAACAAATAACTAATTTGTCCTTTTTCCTAACTGAGGCCCCTTTCCCTAATTTTCATCTGTAAATACTGAACAAAAATATTAATTGAGGCAGTCAGCTAGACCTTTATCCTCTTCTACATACCTCCCTTCTTTTGTTTTTAATCTAATTAATCCTTGTTTTACTTTCCTTTTCTCGTTTATGTATCTAAAAAAATGTTTTGCCCCCTTTTTTTTACTGACCGTGCTATTTTTTCTTCTCTGTTTGATTTGGAAGCTCTTATAACTTGCTTAGCCTCTTTATGCCTAATCTTATAGACCATTCTGTCTTCCTCACTCTGTTTTTGTTTTTTTATAATTACTAAATGCTAACTTTGAGTTTTTTACTATTTTGGCCACATCTGCGGAGTACCACAATGGTTTGTTGAATTTTCTGCTTTTACTGACAAGCCTAATGCAATTTTCTGTTGCCTTCAGCAGTGCAACTTTTAAATAATCCCATTTCTCTCGGACTCCATTTAAATTGCTCCAGTCTGATAATGACTCCTTCACACATATTCTACTTTTAGAAAAGTCTGTTTTTTTAAAGTCTAAAACTTTTGTTTTTGTGTGGTGTGACTCAGTCACTGTTCTTATATTAAACCACACTGACTGACGATCACTGGATCCTAAACTTTCACCTACAGTAATATCTGATACAAAATCTCCATTTGTTAACACTAAATCTAGTATGGCCTCTTTACGAGTTGGCTCCTCAATGACTTGTTTTAGAGACAATCCCAGTAGGGAGTTTAGAATATGTGTGCTCCTGGCACAAGCAGCTATTTTGGTTTTCCAATTCACATCAGGAAGATTAAAGTCACCCATGATGATAACATCCCCCTTCATTGTCATTTTAGCTATTTCCTCAACTAGTACATTATCTAACTCTTCTATTTGTCCTGGGGGCCTATAAATCACACCTACATGAGTTACTATGTGATTACCAAATTCTAACGTAACCCAAACGGACTCTATGTTCGCCTCACTAGGTTTTATTAGGCTAGATTTTATGATATCTTTCACATACAGGGCCACCCCTCCCCCTTTCTTGCCTTACCTGTCTTTTCTATATAAAGAGTACAATCGTATTGCTATGTCTCAGTCATTTTTCTCATTATACCTTGTCTCAGTAATACCGACTAAATCTACATTATCAGTTGCCATTATTGCCACAAGTTCATGGTTCTTATTCCCTAAACTGCGAGCATTTGTAGACATAACTCTAAGCTTATCATTTTTTAACACACTTGTTACAGGCACTTTCTGTCCTTGTTTTGGGGGGGCAATTGGTTTGATGTTTTATCACCCTTTTGCCCCCCTCCTAGTTTAAGTACATCCTAGCAAAACCTCTGAACTGCTCACTGAGAACATTTGTTCCCTTATGAGAAAGATGCAAACTGTCGCGGATGGCATTGGCTGTCCTAAAAATTACAGTTATTCCTATGTGTTTGGTTGAATTGTAACCTATGTATGTGAAATGCATGCAGCATTCGACTGATTGTTCGGTAGAATCATTCCAGTTATAATGAAAGTGAAACTACCGAACAGTCAGACCACCCCAGTAGTAAGTGTGCCTCCAATTACCATTTGCAACAATGTTGCGAACGGGTAATTGGCAATTCGTGTAGTGGGTTCTTTGTTCTCTGGGTGGCCGCCATTCGGGAGACGAACACGTGGCGGCGATCATTTTAAACTCCCGAACAGCGGTGTTTTACCGTCGAGTGTCTGGAACTCAAATCGGACGCTCGGCTAGGCAAACATCGCTGAGACCTCCACACTGCCCTTAAATTCGTATAGAAACTACCGAACGGCCACCCGTTCAGTAGAAAGAAACACCCGAACAAGGGGATTTATGCGAACTCTCCCTAGTCTCCATAGCACAAGTCTTTCGTGCAGTTTATTCCCTTTTTCTGTGACCGACCACAGGGCCAAAACGCATGGAACCAATTTCAGCTGTTCTCTCCAGTGCGGTCTTTTTATTACTTCCACAAATCTCCCGAACCCCTGGTCTGATCTGGGTGATTTTTGGATATGTCACTCACCCAGATCAGGGCTACCAGGGGATGTAATATTTAAAGGGGTACCCCTATGTTTAGGGGTACATACAGAAACCCAGGAAATTTGTGTCCTGCATAATGGGATTATGAGTCAGGCTAAGGGGAGGAGATGTGTGGGCAGCTACTCATGTATGATTGGATACTGTACTAATGATTGTAAATCCCTCCCTTGCATGGGAGATTGCTTTAAAAGAAGGTTGAGGGATTAAAAGTTCAGTTCTGCTCCTGATGCTGTGTGTCGTCCAGTCATTGGGATTGAGGTTGGGATATTGTTGGATTGTTTTGCCTGCTGAAAGCCTTGCCTTATGGATTTATAATACTTGTTCCTGAGCCTCACTGGAATCTTAAGTGGAGATAACCTGTGGAATATCAGCTCTCCGCTACACAAACCATCTTATTTTGTACAGTTTATTTAGTTAGAATAAAGGGGGGGGGACCTTTGTCCTCCCCCTGGCCCCCACCACTGAGTGGTGGGTGGGGCCCTAAATATCAATAAGGGGGGACATATTGTCCTCCCCCCGGCCCCCACCCCTGAGCCGCGGGTGGGGGCCCTAAACATCAATAAAGGGGGGGGACCTAATGTCTTCCCCCCTGGCCCCCACCCCTGAGCGGCGGGTTTGGGCCCTAAATATCAATAAGGGGGGACCTAATGTCCTCCCCCCTGGCCTCCACCCCTGAGCAGCAGGTGGGGGCCCTAAATTTAGAATAAGGGGGGGGACCTATTGTCCTCTCCACTGGCCCCCACCCCTGGGCGGTGGGTGGGGTTTCCTAAATAAAAATGTAAACCCCCCGGGTCACCCCCCTCCCCCAAAAAATTACCAATAACCCCTACCTACCCCCCTCATCCTAAAAATAATGAGGGGGGACCATTATCTAGATACCTGTAAAAAAAAACAATAGGTCCCCCCTTATTGGTATTTAAGGCCAGGGGGAGGACAATAGCGGCGAGCGGCGGGTGGGGGCCAGGGGGAGGACAATAGGTCCCCCCCATTATTCTAACTTAGGGCCCCCTACCCACCGCTCAGGGGTGGGGGCCGGGGGTGAGGACAATAGGTCCCCCCTTATTCTAATTTAGGGCCAGGGGGAGGACAATAGGTCCCCCCGCCCTTATATGTATTTAGGGCCCCCACCCGCCACTCAGGGGTGGAGGCCAGGAGGGAGGACAATAGGTCCCCCCCCATTAGTTTACTTTAGGGCCTCCATCCACCGCTCAGAGGTGGGGGCCAGGGGTGAGGACAATAGGTCCCCCCTTATTGATATTTAGGGCCCCCACCCACCGCTCAGGGGTGTGGGCCGGGAGAATAATAGGTCCCCCCTTATTCTTCTTTAGGGGAGGGTGGTTTAATTTTAGGTTTTGGTTTTTTACAGTGAGCAGCCACAGGTTTAGCGAGTAGGGGCAAAATGTATTGATACTAAGTAATTTTTACTTAGTATCAGTGAATTCGGCTGAAAGACCAATTTAGGTCTTTCAGCCTTTTGGTAGATAACTCCCTAGTACCTTGAGAATTATGGAGTTATCTACTAAGCGGCTGCAAGCAAAGTCCCAGAGGGCCAAAGTCCCGAAATTCCGAAATGCCGAAGTTGCCGAAGTTCCAAAGTGTTGAAGTGCCGAAATTCCGAAGTTGCCGAAGTGCCGAAGTGTTCAAGTGTCGAAGGGCCGAAGTGCTGAACCGAACCGCCAAAGTCTAGAATTCCCAAAGTCCCGAATGGCCGAAGTCCCGAACTTCGAAATGCCAAACTTTTTTCCCATGCACATCCCTAGTGAGCAGTAGCTCCAGGAGGACATCTCACTAGACCACCATTGAGAAAATCAAAAGAATGCCTTTATAGAGGGTGCATATTGTAAAAAGAAAAGAAACCCCTTTATATATCCAACAGTAAATAACAATGAAAAACACTTGAGCATACTGGGTGTCCACCCATAATAATTAGAAACCTCCCAACCATAATCACATAGCTATGGCTGTCAAGGGAACCAATAAACAGGAAGTAAATATGCATTCACATTATATCAGTAATAAAAAGATTCATAGGCATAAGTCTTGAAAACAGCAAATTAATAACAAGATCCCCAAAGAGATAAACCAAAATATTCCAAAAAATATACCTGTAAAAAACACCCGATCGCACTGACTGGTAGTCTATACAATGGAACGCACGTGCTTTCCAATGATATCCATAATAAAATCTCAGGCTGGGAGATTTTCAATCTCACAGCCAGCAACGCAAGTGCAAAACTGCAATATGGGCATGTCCGCAGTATGTGGAATGCACAGTGCATTCCACACACGCAAGGACCCAGATGACAGGTCCATAGAAAAGCGCATGCGCGAATCGTCCCACAGACGCCTACCTTATTCGATGAGGAAACAAGCAATATGTGAAATGCACCATGCGCTTCACCCCATGGAATCGAGATGGCAAATCACTCGTGCAGCAAATTTGCAATTAGCATCTGTAACGAATCGTGCGTTCCACCGAGAAACCAATGAGAGAGAATACATTCAGAGTGCCTCCCAGCAATCGGAGGCTGTCACACTCCCAGCATAAGAAATGACAAATGGAAAAATGAATAAAAGCAATATCATAAGGAAAATAAAGAAAAAAAGAGAGAACAAGGAAAGGAAAGGAAAAAAAAGGGAAAAATTAAAAGAAAAAAAGATATACCCAAATAGGGATCCATACAATATAAGATAAGCACGTGATGATCTACAATCATATAGGACACAAATTATTGTGTCAATAATCCAAGCAAAAGGGGGGGGAGAATAATTATTTTTAGTGAATACATCAACTATATCATATCATGATCATGTTTCTATAAAGTCATGTGAGCATACAATATAAGTCAATGGTCACCATGATAAAAAAAAAAACATGACATGAATTTCGTGCATCGAATGCACAAAAGGCATAGATATCAATTGTATGTAATACACAAGAAAAACAAAAACAATCCATACAGGATAGACAATCTGAGCTTAACACTGAAAGTCCCAAAATCTTAAAAGGGTTCTGGTAGATTCACATATCCCAGATATCCCATTGTGAAAGTCCAATATAAATCCAGCATCTGTCCACACACAAACTCGAGGAGGGATCCAAGCACTGCAAGGCCATACCCAGTATGAAGTCCCAAAATAAACAACTGTGAAAATGTAAAAGAAACCAGTAAAAACACATGAATCTAAAAATGAAAAGACAAAAACACAGGCAGAGATAACGAGCAGAACACCTTGAAACATAGAAACAGCACTAATTCACAAGAGGAAATTATACATACTTCCAAGGGAAGTAACAAGTAACTAGACAAAGCAAGTTTACCTGAAGGGATTAAAATCACATTCCTCATTCAGCCCATGAGGGAACAATGTTTTCAAACGATAGATCCAATGAAGTTCTGCCTATTTGAGAGAGTCTGCAAGGGAACACCCAAAATAAGGATTTTTAATAAGTTGTATAGCCTGAAATCTAAATTGAGCCACCGAATGGCCCGAGTCAACAAAATGTTTAGCTAAAATATTGTGTTGTTTCTTTCTCCGTATGGTACTTTTGTGTTCACCAATACATGTAGTTAAGGAGCTCAAGGTTTGGCTAACGTAACCAAGTCCACAAGGACACTTGATTAGGTAGATCACGTGATCCGACTGACAATTCAGGCAATCCTTAATAGAGAACAATTTGCCTGTTCTGGGGTGAGTGAATTCAGAACTGGTTATGGTGTTATTACAATTACCACAATGGCCACATCGATGCATCCCACTAATCAGTGTCAACCAGGAAGTGGAAGGCCTGGCAGAAGTACCAGATCTAGAGCGTGATACCAGAGCTTTGATATTTCTGGATCTCTTATATGCCATGATTGGTCTTTCTCTAAAGAGATCCCGAATAGATGGATCTCTCCGTAAGATGTGCTAATTCTTATAGATGACATGTTTAACGAAACCAGATTTGGTTGAATATGTAGTGACACACGGAACCTGATTCAATACTTGTTTCTTACCCCAAAGTTTCAATAAAGCAGTCCTCTATGTGACAGTGGGGGAACAGTTGTATGTGCCTGGGTGTGTCGGAGTAGATTGGGGTCTGGGACATAGTGTGTGATATTGCACAGGACAACGTGAGGACGTGGAGGTATATGTAAGTGAGTATTACTAGCAGGAGAAGGACATATGGCAGGGAGAGTATTATGACAAGGTGGGGGTGTATATGACAGGGAGGGTATTATAGCAGAGTGGGTATTATATGACACGTTGAGGGGTATATGCCAGGGTGAGAATTATGACTAGGTCGTGGATTTATGGCAGGCAGAATAATATGACAAAGCGGTGGTGTATATGGCAGGGAGAATATTATGATAAGGTGGGTTTTGGGATATATGGCAGGGTGAGTGTGGGTAAAATGGCAGGGAGGGTGTTGGTATAATGGCAGGGAGTGTGGGGGCATAATGGCAGGGAGGGTGGGGGTATAATTGCAGGGAGGGTGACGATACAGGGCAGGGAGGGTGGGGGTATAATGGCCGGAAGGATGGAAGTATAATGGCAGGGAAGGTGAGGGTATAGGGCAGGGAGGATGGGGGTATAATGGCAGGGAGGGTATTATGACAAGGTGGGGATTGGGAGTATAATGGCAGGGAGGGTGGGGGTATAGGCCAGGGAGGGTATAGCTATGAGGATGGGGGATGTCACAGTGTGATTTTACAAGTGCTGTATAATATTATTAACTCACCATTCAGGGGGTGCCAGAGCAGCAGGGGCTGTCTTAGCTCTTTCAGCCTCCAACTAGCTTATTCCCAGGGTATGGTAGTGCTTAAGATGCTCTGCATGTTCAGAGTAGCCACAGGGGAGAAACCTGGCTCTGCGCCCCCTGTTGGTACACTCCATAATAACCTCCCTGCTACTCAGTGTGAGTCAGAACACCTGCTGGGAATCCCTTCCTTGTGCTCGGACTCACTAACTGAGTGCCGGAGCCGCGAGGGAGAGGATATTATGGCTGAAGCAGCAGGAGGTACAGAGTGTGGCACCCCCCTACTGAGTGGCACCCAGGGCGAATCCCCATTTCCCCTCCAAGTATGCCACTGCACCTAGGCAATAGTGCCCCTCCCTGCCTAGACAATGCTAGTTGCCTAGGCAGGGAGATATAGATATCCAGTGGTATGCGTCGCAGAAAAGCAACATCGGGTGCTTTTCTGGTTGTCAAATGTGATGGTGCCATTCGGTGGTGAGTAATGAGTGGGTATTATCACTGTATTATCTGCTTGAAAATACTTCTCAACACTTGAGGGGTTCTATACATATTTATGCGCACCAGCACTTTTCTGTTTTGTGATTGTTTCTGTACCTTATTACCTAGGTATATTGTGGGTACTGCAAACCTATTTATATTTCATCTTAATTTTTTGCGCCAACTTATCTACTGGACATACACACACACACACACATATATACATGCTGACATACACATACATACAAATACACATACATATACATATACATACTGACATACATACATATTGACAGCCATACATGCTGACAGCCATACATACATACATACATACTGACAAACATACACATACATTCAGACACACATACATATACATACTGACATACATACATACTGACAGACATACTGACATACATACATACTGACATACATACACATACACATATAGAGAAATATACATACACATACTGACATACATAGATATATATATAAAACTGAAATATATACACATACATACACATACATACATACTGACATACAAACACACAGACAGACATAAATACAGGGAGTGCAGAATTATTAGGCAAATGAGTATTTTGACCACATCATCCTCTTTATGCATGTTGTCTTACTCCAAGCTGTATAGGCTCGAAAGCCTACTACCAATTAAGCATATTAGGTGATGTGCATCTCTGTAATGAGAAGGGGTGTGGTCTAATGACATCAACACCCTATATCAGGTGTGCATAATTATTAGGCAACTTCCTTTCCTTTGGCAAAATGGGTCAAAAGAAGGACTTGACAGGCTCAGAAAAGTCAAAAATAGTGAGATATCTTGCAGAGGGATGCAGCACTCTTAAAATTGCAAAGCTTCTGAAGCGTGATCATCGAACAATCAAGCGTTTCATTCAAAATAGTCAACAGGGTCGCAAGAAGCGTGTGGAAAAACCAAGGCGCAAAATAACTGCCCATGAACTGAGAAAAGTCAAGCGTGCAGCTGCCACGATGCCACTTGCCACCAGTTTGGCCATATTTCAGAGCTGCAACATCACTGGAGTGCCCAAAAGCATAAGGTGTGCAATACTCAGAGACATGGCCAAGGTAAGAAAGGCTGAAAGACGACCACCACTGAACAAGACACACAAGCTGAAACGTCAAGACTGGGCCAAGAAATATCTCAAGACTGATTTTTCTAAGGTTTTATGGACTGATGAAATGAGAGTGAGTCTTGATGGGCCAGATGGATGGGCCCGTGGCTGGATTGGTAAAGGGCAGAGAGCTCCAGTCCGACTCAGACGCCAGCAAGGTGGAGGTGGAGTACTGGTTTGGGCTGGTATCATCAAAGATGAGCTTGTGGGGCCTTTTCGGGTTGAGGATGGAGTCAAGCTCAACTCCCAGTCCTACTGCCAGTTCCTGGAAGACACCTTCTTCAAGCAGTGGTACAGGAAGAAGTCTGCATCCTTCAAGAAAAACATGATTTTCATGCAGGACAATGCTCCATCACACGCGTCCAAGTACTCCACAGCGTGGCTGGCAAGAAAGGGTATAAAAGAAGAAATCTAATGACATGGCCTCCTTGTTCACCTGATCTGAACCCCATTGAGAACCTGTGGTCCATCATCAAATGTGAGATTTACAAGGAGGGAAAACAGTACACCTCTCTGAACAGTGTCTGGGAGGCTGTGGTTGCTGCTGCACGCAATGTTGATGGTGAACAGATCAAAACACTGACAGAATCCATGGATGGCAGGCTTTTGAGTGTCCTTGCAAAGAAAGGTGGCTATATTGGTCACTGATTTGTTTTTGTTTTGTTTTTGAATGTCAGAAATGTATATTTGTGAATGTTGAGATGTTATATTGGTTTCACTGGTAATAATAAATAATTGAAATGGGTATATATTTGTTTTTTGTTAAGTTGCCTAATAATTATGCACAGTAATAGTCACCTGCACACACAGATATCCCCCTAACATAGCTATAACTAAAAACAAACTAAAAACTACTTCCAAAAATATTCAGCTTTGATATTAATGAGTTTTTTGGGTTCATTGAGAACATGGTTGTTGTTCAATAATAAAATTAATCCTCAAAAATACAACTTGCCTAATAATTCTGCACTCCCTGTACACACATACATACATATACATACACATACTGACATACATACATACTGACACACATACATACTGAAATACATACACATACATACATACATACTGGCATGCATACACACATACATATACATACATACATACTGGCATACATATACATACATACATACAGATACATACTGACATACATACTTACATGCATACATTCACATATTC